TTCCAGGTACATCTTGCTTGTTTTCCCCTCCCTCGATGCCCTGGACCCTTTTTCATTTATTCCACCCAGTGCAGTGAGCACAGAGGCCTGGATTGAGTAGCTTTCTTGCGCTTTAGAGAGAAACCAGTTGAAGGCATGTCTTAGGGCCAGAGGTCTTACATCTCTGGGTATAGGGTTGCCAACCACAACAAGAGTAATAATAGCTAATATGTAAAAAGTGCTTGGTCTAAGCTAGGCACTGTTTTAGGTGCACAGTTAACACTCACTCACTCAGTAGACCTAGGAGGTGCAGAGGGGGTCAGTAACCTGCCCATGGTCACATAGCTGGCGGTGAGGATTTGAATCTGGGCTTTTCCATTCTTAACCCCTGCTCTGTCTCCCTAGGAGGTAACTGAGGGCTGGAGGTTTGTGGTAAAAAGTAATGTAGGATCCTAAGGATTCTAAACATTAAAGACAACAGGGATGCACATGAGCCAGGTGATTGATTTTTCACATGCACATGTGACTTCCGAGTTAGAGCGCAGGGGGTCACTCCATTTCTCTGACAGCTTTGTGGCCCCCTGGGGATACTCCCTGGGGGCACCTTTACATTTTCTATTCTCATTTTTGATGGTGATCTAACAAATTAAAAAGAAGCCTGTTTTTTTTTTTTTAAAAAGAAGCTTTTTTTTTTTTTTTTTTTTTTGGCTTATCTGGTCAATAGTGTGGACTGAGGGCTGCCCTTAGAAAAGAAAGAGAGCAGGAAGGTTGGGGCTTCCTTCAAGAGAATCACTGAGAAATCATCCCTGAGCTGCAGTGGGCTGTGACTGCAGGTTTGTTGCAAGGCTTGAGAGCCAGCAAGATTTAGCAGACGGCTAAGCCTGGAGCTAGTGGACTTGAAACTGAATCCCTCCTTGGGTACTTCCCATGAGACTGCCCTTGGGTGCTCCACACTGAGCCTCAGTGCTCTGGTGAATGGAGCCACGTTTCCTATGTCAAAGATTAAATGTCAGTCACTTAATGGCTTCCCCACTGTTGAGGCTCAATGGGTAGGCGTTGCCTCCCTGCTCCCCTCCGGTGGTTGCAGTGTTTGAGAGGGGGGGATTCTTTTTGGCCCTGGCAGGGGTGCTGTAGTCTCCTCTTGCTCACTGGAAGAAGACAGGAAAGACACTGGTAGCATAGATTGCCTGCCTGTCTGCACGGGGGCCCCATGTTCCAGACTGCGGAGCTAGGAGAGTATGATCTCATGCAGAAACCAGTGCCCGGAGAAGGGAAGTGACTGTCCCTGTCACATGGCCAGCAAGCGGCTCTGTTGGGATGAGAACTCATGATGCCTTGTGACTTCCCGCTGGTCCTCCTTCCGCTGCTCCTCGTGGCCATGGTCCCCCGGGCACCTCCTGCAGTTCGTACATGCTCCCAAGGCCTCATGTGCTCCCTCCACCTTCTGAGACTCCCTTCTCTGAATCCCCAGTTAGAGCCAGGATGGCCACAGGTGCCTCTGCTGAGGTCAGGACTGCCTCACTCGGGTACACTTCTCACCTGCCGAGGGATTGCAGTCAGGGAGGGTGAGTGGAGGGCTGATCCTCTGTAGTGAACAGGCTTTTCCTCCCACCACAAAGAGAGTCTTTGCGGGGTAAGGCAGAGGAGGCTGCTGACATCTCATCTAGAAAGAGCAGTGGATCCAGATACTGTAAAAAAGAACCCGGATCATCATGCAAATCAGGAAGGGTAGGGTGTGAAATCCTCGCTGTGCTAGCGTGGGTCAGGAACCAGCAGCATCAGCACCATCCGGGAACTTGTGAGAAACGCCCAATCCCAGGTCTCATCCAGACCTGCTGAATCAGAACCTGTCTTTGACAAGAGCCTGGGAGATTTCGTGTGAATACAAAAGCTTGAGAATTACTGCACTAAAAATGATCAGTCATGAGATGATGGAGATTTTTATTTTCATTTTACCTGCTTTCCTGATTTATAATTATTTTTTTACATGAATTACTTTTTTTTTTATCGTGGTTCAATACGTGACAAAATTCACCATCTTAACCACTTTTAGGCAGACAGTGCAGTAGTATTAAATACATTCACACTGTTGTGCAGCCATCACCACCGCCCATCCCCTTGACTATCCATCTTGTAGAACTGAAACTCAGTTCCCATTAACAGTAACTCCCCATCCTCCCCTCTCCTCAGTCCCTGGAAACCACCATCATATTTTCTGTCTCTGTGATTTTGACTACTTCTTATGAGTAGAATTGTGGTATTTATCTTTTTGGGGACTGGCTTATTTCACTCAGCCTAAAGTCCTCAAGGTTCATCCATGTAGCATAGTGCAGAATTTCCTTCTTTTTGAAGGCTAAATAATAGTGCATTGTGTGGATAGACCCCATTTTGCTTATCCGTCTGTCGATCGACACTTGGTTGCTTTCTCGTCTCAGCTACCACCAAGGATGCTGCTATGAACATGGGCGTACAGTATCTTTTTGAGACCCTGCTTTCATTTCTTTTGGGTGTCTACCCGGATGTGGAATTGCTGGGTCATATGGGGATTCTATCACATAAATTACTTCTTTGATTAGAAAAAAAATAGCAAAGGCATTTCAGGGTGGAAAACCTTGTCAAGTTTCCAGCTGGTATTGCCCAAGGGCAGGTAGGGTTGTTGGATGCAGTGCTTGGAAGAAGGAAGAAAGAAAGCCTCACTTGTCCATCCTGGTGTTAGAGAGAGAAGAGCAGAAGCCAAACCTGCTAAACAAGAAAGTAGGATTTACTGATAGACATAGGTATCAAGGGAGGTGTCTGGGGACTTTGGTTAGGGGGGTGGTCTCCAGACGTCCTGAATGACCCTTCAAACCCCCTTTCTCAAAGCCCCTCCAGAGAAGAATAACAATGACAACGTTGGGGAAGTCAGTTGCTATCACCGGGTGTCCGTGGCGTGTCTACTCCCTGGTTTCATCTGTGGGCCTGGAGTGAGGCAGGAACCTTGTGTGGTGGCCCCGACACAGACTCTCGAGGGGCATGGTCTTGAGTAAGAATCATAGTTCCACCAATTCGTATTCAAATTAGAACAAAACCTGTTATTTTAGTTCGCAAGGTCCTTTGTGACTAGCCCCTGCCTACCTGTCTGACCTTTCCTTCCTCATTTTTGCTTTTTGCTCAAGTCACGGCAGACTTCCTTCTGCTCCTGGAAGACCAGAAGCCTAGTTTTTTCCTGCCTCCAGGTATCCGCCCTGGCTCTCTGCTCTGCCTGGAATGCTGGGCTCCCATGTCTTTCCAGGGTTGCTCCTTCTCTTTATTAAGGGGTCAGCTCACATGCCAGCTCTGTGGGGAGGCCTTCCACCACTGCCCTGGTGAACAGGGCCGTCTTGCCTCCTCCCTGTCTCATCACCCCATTTGGTTTTTCTTCCTAATATGACTCTCTGACATCATCTCAGTTTAGGTTTACTTAGGTGCGATTTTTGCTCCATGGGAGGCTGGATCTTCTGTACCATTACAGTCGCATATCCCCAGCACTCAGCACATTGCCTGGCACACAGTAGAAGTTAAATAAATACTGAGTGGGTCAGTGCACACATTTGCTGTCATCTCTGGGCTTCCGTTTTCCCATCTGCAGCGTGGGGATCCTAATACTTTGCTTGTACGGGGGGCGGGGGAGGTGTAGAAATGACAGGATGTGATGCATGCAGAGTATTCAGTTTAGTGCCTGGCATGCAGGAAGTGCTTAACACGTGGTCACAGTTGTTATCAACCAAGTGGCCCTGACATAACTCAGATGAGTCACTGACCATCTCTGTGGGAAGACCTTGCTGGGACTCCCTGGCGAAGTCCATGATAAATTGCCCAAGCAAGAAGCAGCTTGGTGTCACTTCAAGGCCTGTGGTGTGGGGCGTCTGTTCTTGTACCTCTGAATTTGAGTCTCCTTTGACTGTGTTCTCCGTCTGGAGCATCATAGTACAGAGCTGTGTCCCTGCTGACTGGAGTTGCTGGGCCTCCTGTGGACCATCAGATGTAGCTCTATAGTGGTCTCCTTGGTGCTTTGAAGTGTCCCTGCCTCAGACCCTTTTAAATGGAAGTTTGGTGCATGCCACGTGTATCAGTTAGGAATGCTTTGGGCTGCAAATAACAGCCCGGCATCCAGTGGTTTGAACAAATGGGGTTGCTTGCTGTATGAGAGGCCGGAGATTTCTAGTATTGGTTCAGCAGTGAAATGGCGTGAGGGCTGGTGTCTCTCTGGTTCTCTTGGCCTTCCCTCTGGGCTGTTGCCTCATGGCTGTGGTCCCACTCTGCCCAGTGTGGTTATGATGAAGGCGTGAAGGATGGAAGGAGGAGTGAAACCACTAACATCTGTTCCTTTATCAGGAAGGCATAGTTTCCCCCCAGCCCTCCCTTCTGCTTACATCTCATCAGCTTGAACTTCTTAAGGTCAGCCTTCCAAAAGAGGCCGAGAAAAGTAGTAATTAGGCTTTTCAGCTTGTACCGTGGGAGATGGCATGGGGAAAGGACGTCGGAGCCGATGGTGAGGTCAGCCAATGGGCAGTGCCTGCCATACTAGGGAACCTGCGTGGTAAATTAGACTGCTGGTTCTCAGCTGGGGGCAGTTTTGTCCCCCAGAGGACATTTGGCAGTATCTGGAGACATTTTGCTACAACTAGGGGTGTGTGTGTGTGTGTGTGTGCGCGCGCGCACGCATGTGCGCGCTTGCTTGCTAATGGTGTCTGGTGGGTAGAGGCCATGGATGATGCTCGGCATCCTGCAGTTCACAGGGCAGCCCCCACCACAGAGAATGATCTGGCCCAAACGTCCGTGGCACCAAGGTTGAGAAACCCTGAGCTAGACCTTTCTGGACACATTTTTCGAATGTGGGAGACATTCGTTGAGCTGCTTTCCTGTGAGGTAGCAACAGACAAATGGCCAAACTTCACTGGAATGATGTAGATCATTGGTGCCTTCACTGGAGAGGAGGCTGAAGCCCGTTGTGGCAGCAGGCGCATGTCAAACAGAACTAATGAAGCCTCGTTGCATTTTAGGATCACAGAACAATGACCTGAAAAGACAGTTTCTGCTGGAGCGTCTGCTGGATGCAGTGAAGCAGGTAAGAAGAAAGCTCTTGTTTGACTCTCGGGTCGAGTAACAGTGTCAGGCAACTCATGTCGATGTCCCTTGCACACGGACCTACCCCTACTTTCTGTCTGGGAGCAGTGAGGCTCGTAGCATCCCCCAGGCCACGAGAGAGCAGGGAGGGCACTCAGAAGTACTGCGGAGGAACGCCCCGTGTCCTGACTCTTTAACACCGTGGGGGACCCCGTCCATCATGATGTCCCTTTGAGAAGGGCTTTGGTGTCAGTGTCAAAGTCTCACTTCCCCTCAGTTGTGTTTCAGGGCAACTCTTCTGAGCGCCGAAGTGGTGGCTGGAGTTAGCGCCCCTTGGGCATAAGAACAGAGACACACAGGAGGAGCAAAGCCATGCCCAGGGTCGCGTGGGTCCTCCAGGTGGGCTCTGCTCTGATGGCTTGATGAGATTTTTGATATCGACTTTTGGCTGGCTGTGGAAGCAAGCTTTGGCACGAGGCTGGCTTCGGTGTGCTTGCCTGTGTGTGGCAGACATGTATGGTTAACTGCACACACGTCAGTCCCGTACCGGGCTCTCCGCTGAGCGCTTCCCCTCTAATCCTTCCAACCACCCTGTGAGGTGGTTCCTGCATGTGTTTCCAGTTTACGAACAAAGAAACGGAAGCTCAGAAAGATGCAATAATTCGCTTAAGGAGTTAGAGGTAGTAAGTAGCAGAGCTAGGATCCAACGCTGGGAATTCTCGGTAGCTCACATTTCGGAAGGCGTCACTGACAATTCTGTGCATGTGGTCACCATATAGGGAGGTCGATACTTTCATAGAGATGCGTGTCAAGTGTTGAAGTGAACCCAGAGAACTTGGCATCTCCCCAGCCTCTAGGCACCCAGGTGTGGTGTGTGGTGGAAAGGACACAGGCTCAGGTGAAGCTGGGGCCGAATGCCAGCTTCATCTCTTCAAGGCTGTGTGTGCTGGGGTAACTCATCTAGCCTCTCTGGGCATCCCTCTTCTCTGTCATCGGGTCACTGCTCTCCAGAGGGCTGATGAGGGGATTGCATTTGTTAAAGTAGCTAAAGGGCCCAGCAGTAAATACGGAATCCACATTATTTGTTTCTTTGTCCCAGAAGTGGGAAATACAAAAAGAAAATAAAGAGGCAAGTGGGACCACTTTGAATGTAGCTGTTAAACAGAAATAAATTGGAGCCTATGCCCAGAGCTGCTGTTACTATTGTTGTTGTTGTTATGATTTGGGGAGATGGAAGCATTGTACACAGACCTTTTAAAAGTCAATCTTATTGAGGTATAACTGAGGCATGCAATAAAGTACACCGATTTAAAGTGTGCAGTTCCATGAGTTTTGACATACGTATCATTTATTTTTTTAATTTTTATTGTTATGTTAATCACCATACATTACATCATTAGTTTTTGATGTAGTGTTCCATGATTCATTGTTTGTGCATAACACCCAGTGCTCCACGCAGAACGTGCCCTCTTTAATACCCATCACCAGGCTAACCCATCCCCCCACCCCCCTCCCCTCTAGAACCCTCAGTTTGTTTTTCAGAGTCCATCGTCTCTCATGGTTCGTCTCCCCCTCCGACTTACTCCCCTTCATTCTTCCCCTCCTGCTATCTTCTTCTTTTTCTTTTTTCTTAACATATGACATACGTATCATTTAAAAGCATTCATTCTTTGGAGAATAAGTTCTGGAATCTTGCAAGCCTGCTACACACAGAGGAGATTCCACACCTTTAAAAGACAGTAGTGGCTACTGCTGATGGTCATACAGTTTTTGAATTGAATGGTATATAACTAAAAATGTTTAAGATGGTAAATTTCATGTTTTCTATTTTTTACCACAATTAAGAAAGAATGGTTTGCTTTTATATGTACCTGCCCTGGGTGAAATGTCATGCAGCACAACCGGATGACATGGTTGAAGCTTGAAGCATGCTGCCATAATTTTATAGGCAATCATAACAACTCTGGGGCCCTTTCCAAAGGCACCCATCATCACAGATTTGTGTAAGTTTTAATTGTCCCATTGGGAGCTCTGTGTTCAGGCAGCCAGCCTCTGACATACAGAAGAAGCTTCCTAGATAATCCGCACAAGGCTGTGTGCTTTTGTTTTCCTCTTGGTGTTGTTTTCCCACAAGGCTCCCCACTCTGTACAAGTGGCAGATAAGGCCTTCCTGTAAGCGGTGGCTGGAAGGCTGGGGTGTCCACCATCTCACATCTTGGCTTGACACCTAGGGCACCCTGTGTGTCCCAGGATCCTGAAAGCCTGTGTGGGCTGATTGTGATGTCTGAGTGTCCCATCCCGACTGCCGATCTCAGTGACTTCTCTTTCCCTGCAGTGCCAGATCCGCTTTGGAGGGAGAAAGGAAATCGCCTCGGATTCCGACAGCAGGTAAACATGTCGCTTCTAAAACCATTTATTGTCAAGACCAAAAAGGTGGCCAGAGATGACTAGCTTCTGTATTCTGCTGCTGCAGCTGAGGTGTGTGGGGCTTCAGTTTGGGTGATCTGTAGACCACCCATGCTGTGACTACCTGTCTAGAGTATTTGCAGCTTCCTGTGATGCTCCCTCCCTCTAGTAGTCCATTCCGAGGGAATTCCCTGAAATACCTTTCTACTTAAAGTTATTTTCAGGGTAATTGATCATGATGGCAACTCAGAAATCTAAATGCTTAACAGGTGGGAAATAGTTAATAAAGTGCAGTGCATTGGGAGGACGGAATGTTATGTAGCCATTAAAATTGATGTCCATACAACATTTCTTTATTTTTTTATAAATGCATTATTTGTTCTTAGTATTTATTTATTTATTTATTAAAGATTTTATTTATTTGACAGAGAGAGACACAGTGAGAGAGGGAACACAAGCAGGGGGAGTGGGAGAGGGAGAAGCAGCCTTCCCGTGGAGCCGGGAGCCCGATGCGGGGCTCGATCCCAGGACCCTGGGATCATGACCTGAGCCGAAGGCAAACACCCAACGACTGAGCCACCCAGGCGCCCCACAACATTTGTTTTAAGCAGAGAAATGCACGTGTAGTAATTTACAAATTATATATGTAGTTGACATAAAAAGAGTAAGACACAAAATTATATGGATGCAGAGTGACGCTAGCTATGTTAAACCACCACTCTGGTGAAAAACACATCAGAATGTGAACAGAGGTAATCCTGGGGTTGAGAATATTGGGAATCCTTACACTTTCTGATATTTTTCGTATTTTACACTGTGGTCATGTGTTTCTTTTATAATTAAAAAAAAAAATCCTAAAAATTGCTGTTGAACTTCATGACCCAGGAAGGGCTGATGTAATTGCATAAGCTTTTCACATTGACTGGGAGGAGACGGAAATGTTTTGGCAAAGGTAAGAGACACACAGGCCGTTGCTTTGTAAAATCGTTCGGGGCTGATTCATGGTGGCAGGAGGAGCATTCCCACAAAGGAAGGGAAGAGAACTCACGAGCTCAGCATTCATCTCATCCTGGAGACTGGCCGTGGCCGCCACCCTGCCCAGCAGAGCCAGTCCCCATCTGTCCTTTCAGGTCCCTGTCTGTGCTACTTTACCAGCTGCGAGCAAAGCACGAAGTGCTACATTTTAATAGAGCTGCGGGGCCAATTTGAACTGGTACAGATTTAAAACTGTACCCCTCCCTTATTCTCTTTTTTTTTCTCTAGTTTTTCTCCTTAACACTTAGCACCCACCAACAGACTGTACCTTAGGCTTTTTTATTTTGTTGATTTCTGTCTCTGTGTCCTAATGTCAGCTCTATACGGGCAGGATGTTTGCTGTCTTATTCGCTGATGTATCCCCGGCGCCTGGAAGCATGGAGAAGGTGCTCAGGAAAGACTCGCTGTCCGGCTGAGCATGTGCATTGCGTTGTGCCATAGTCAGGTGTTTAAATATCTGTGCCACCACGAGACTCATGAGCCCTGAGAGCAGAGGGGCGACTCCTCTAGTGTTTTGCATGGGCATTTCGTGCCTGTCACACATTTGCTTCTCAGCATATGCTTGTGGCATCAGATCATTAGACTGGTTTATTGCTTCAGTTTTTATGAGGCTCTACTATGGGGCCTGGCCCCGGTCAGCACAGGGGTCCTGATTTGGGGATGCAAGGTCAGCTTACATCAGAATCATCCGGGAGGCTCACTCATCAATAAGGCAACTCTCCATCCCACCGTAGACTGCCTGTGTATATGCACATGAGCGTGTGCATCCATATGGATGTGTATGTGGTATGTGGATTCAGGACTTCTTCCTCACTTCCCCCCCCCATGATTGTCTAGTCTTTTTCCTGAGAGAATCCATCTCTAAATGCCAACATGTTCTTATATAACAGTACTTACAACTAAGATTTTTATTGGGTACAATATTATGTTTTATAGTAGAAGTTAAAAAGTTCATTCCTTCAATGAGAGCTGTAGTTTATGGCTAAAAGTAGTATGCTGCTTTATATTAATAAGAGTGACTGTTTCGGGCTCCTGCCATTCATGATTCATGTTGATGCTTCGTCTTCAGGACAACCCCGGGAGGAGTGATGGTTTTACCCCTTCTTTACAGATAAGAAAACAGACTCAGAGGTAGGATAATGCAGCCTAGGTTAGACATCTGAGAAAGTTAGACTTGCAAGTGGGACCCTAGTTTCTAGGGCTCCAAAGTTTGTTCTTCCCGTGTTATAGCGCATTGAGTGATTTTGTTAGTTTTGAAGGTGGTTAAAAAAAAAAGTTTTTCCCTCACCTTGAGGGCTCCTTCTCAATAACGGTCTTGGTCTTACCTTTGAAATATATTTGCATAAAGGTGATACCACATTCATATAGGAAAGTCCACGTCATTGTCCTTACTCTGTGAGAAAGCTTAAGCTCAGGAGGGAAAGTCTCTGAACATTTTGTTGTGGGGTCTGAAAAGATAGATGAGTCTCCTTTCTCCTCCACCCCTGACAAATGGCCCAGCACCAGAAGTGATGTCAGATGTTTTTTCTTCTCTCCAGCTCCCCTGCTATCACCTGTCCCAGTCACCACATCTCCCACAGGATAGCTGCCATAGACTGACTGCCTGTCTTCCTTCTTGTTCTGCTTCCTCTGCACAGAGACTTCTGCAGAATTCAGATGCCTTCCTGTCCGCACCCCCCACCCCCGCCACCTCCTTGGAGAACCTTCCCCTGGCTTCTTTTTGCTCTGTGGAAAAAGACTCGGATCCCTAACACAGTCTTGCTCTTTGCTCCAGCTACCCCCGCCCCCCAGTCCTGGTCATCTGGATCTTTTTTCCTTGCTCTACACCATGGATCAGGAAATATTTATATTTGTTCTTTTTTTTTTTTTTTAAGATTTTATTTCTTTATTTGACAGAGAGAGACAGCGAGAGAGGGAACACAAGCAGGGGGAGCAGGAGAGGGAGAAGCAGGCTTCGGGCCGAGCAGGGAGCCCGATGCAGGGCTGGATCCCAGGACCCTGGGACCATGACCTGAGGCGAAGGCAGATGCTTAACGACTGAGCCACCCAGGCGCCCCTATATTTGTTCTTGGTCGTGATTGGCACTGAGCTCTAAAACCCCTGGAATTCCCAAAGTGATAAGAGCCATAAAGGTGTCTTCTGTTATGTTAATGCAGTGGCTTTTAGAAAGTCCCAAAGGTTGGGGGCCAGTTGCCAAGAGAACCAACCCTGTGATTAAAGGGGTGGACCTTTCTTTCCCAGCCCCCCACCACTGGGGAGAAGAGAGGGGTTGGAGATGGAGTTCAATTGCCAAAGGCCAATGATTTAATCAATCCTGCTTATGTAATGAAGCCTCCATAAAACCCCGAAAGGATGGGGCTCAGAGAGCTTCCAGGTTGGTGAACATGTGGAGGCACAGGGAGAGGTGTGCCTGGGGAGGGTGTGGAGGCTCCATGTTCTTTTCCCTTACCTGGCCCTACGCATCTCTTCCACCTGGCTGTTCCTGAGTTACATCCTTTTATAATAAACCGGTAATCTAGTAAGTAAAATGCTTCTTTGAGTTCTGTGAGCCACTCTGGCAAATTAACCCACAGAGGAGGACGTGGGAATCTTCGACATACATAGCCAGTCAGTCAGAAGTACAGGTGATAACTTGGGCTTGCGACCAACATCTGAAGTAGGGGGGGATGTGTGCCGTTTTGTAGAACTGAGATCTTCACCTGTGGGATCTAACGCTGTCTCCGGGTGGATGGTGTCAGAATCAGGTGGAGTTGTAGGATACCCAGCTGGTGTCAGAGAACTGCTAGGATGTGTGGGAAAAACCCACATGTCCAAAAAGGTGATCAGCATCACATCTACCTTGCCACTTGGGAGGATTAAGTCAGATACTGTGTGTAGAAGTGCCTTCCAGGTAGGTGTTAATTTCACTCCCCAGGGAATGAAATCTGGGTGGGGGGGACAGTCATCACCTAGCTTTGCCTCCTGCCCATGCTGCCTCCTGATGGAGATAGTAGTCTGCAAACAGAAGGGCAAATGTGAATCAGTGAGCCTTATCGACATTCTCTTTTGCTCTTAGGGGAACAATCGGAGATGGAAGGTTTCTTTCTGTGTAACTCTGGGTATAGTTCTCAGCCCCATTTGGAAGGTGGAGCTCTTTAGGGGTGCCTGGGAGGCTCAGTCGGTTAAGTGGGTGCCTTTGGCTCAAGTCATGATCCCAGGGTCCTGGGATTGAGTCCCACATTGGGGTCCTTGCTCAGTGGGGAGTCTGCTTCTCCCTCTGACCTTCCGCCCTCTTGTGCTCTTTCTCTCTCTCAAATAAATAAATAAAGTCTTTTTAAAAAGTAAATAAATAAAATGGCATTCAAAGATAACACTTGACTTTTTTTTTTAAAGATTTATTTATTTATTTGAGAGAGCGAGAATGAGAGAGAGAGAGTACATGAGACGGGGGAGGGTCAGAGGGAGAAGCAGGCTCCTCGTTGAGCAGGGAGCCTGATGTGGGACTCGATCCTGGGACTCTGGGATCATGACCTGAGCCGAAGGCAGTCGCTTAACCAATGGGAGCCACCCAGGCGCCCAACACTTGGCCTTTTAAGAAAACATCCCTTCTGATTATCCATTATGTCTTAGCAGACACTGGTTCTTAGCTTCCTGCAGAAGAATGATGCAGGAAGAGACACATCTAAAGAGCTCCATTTTCTTTTCTTAAGATTTTATTTATTTATTTGACAGAGAGAGAGAGGGAGAGAGCAAGCACAAGCAGGGGGGAGTGGCCGGCAGAGTTCACAGTAAATTTAAAATTTACTAAGGCAAAGTTCTAGGCATGACTGGGAGTGTTGGCCTGTGGCCACAGCTAGATTCCAGCTGGTTGGATGAACATCAGTGGGAACCTTTGAAAGGATGGTACACAGCTGTTTCTGCCAAGGCTCTTTGGTAACAAGCAACAGAAATCTACTCCAGTTAAGGAA